AAAAAAAAAAAAAAAAAAGAGAAAAATATGAAGAATACTACTGCCTACTACACCTGTGCACAGTAACCACACAAAATTCAAATCAGCCCCTATGGGCCTGAAACAACCCTGTGTCTTGCTGAGGGCAGGCTGGTGTCCTTCCTGTGGATGCTCTGAGCCTGGCTGCCTCTGTATGCGGGATGCACAGGGGCCACAAGATGCTTCTGTGGTGGGTGAAGCCTCAGCTGGCCTTGTCTGTCTATCTCCTCCCTCTCTCCTTCCCTCTCCCCCTTTCTCTCTGAGACAGGGTTTTGCTCTATACTCTAGGCTAGCCTGAACTCCTACGGGCTGGGGCTGGGATTACTGGCAAGTGCCATCATGCCCACCTCTGGCTTCATTTTTTGGCCCTGCTGCCCCCATGAGGAGTGGGGACAACCTGCCATGTGCCGTACCTGGTATGTCACCAAGCTGGGGTTGCACTGGACACCGAGGCGGGAGGCAGTGTGGCTTTATCCTATGCTTCTATCTGGACAGTCAGGGGACATGGTGTGGTGCAGCAGTAGTGCGCACCTATCATCTGCAAAGTGCCAGCCCCAGTGCCCATCTCTGTCCTCAAAACACAGAGGATAAGAAAACAGACCCCTCTCTGCAACTCACTTTTCTTTCACAGTCTCGAGCTTGAAGATGTGCACCGTCTCAGTGTTGCTAGACGCGGAGAGGAACATACCGTCCATACTGAAGGCCAGCGAGCAGATGCTCACACACCTGGGGGACAAGGCACATGAGAGGGGTCCCAGCTCTCACCCGTGTTCCTTTGGGACCGAGGGACAGCTCCCAGATGGGTGGACTTGGGTCTACTGATGCCCTCTCATTTCTCTCCAGCATCTGCTCAGAAACTTGAGAGAGGAATATGTTCAGGAATTTAATCTAAGTCTGAGCAATTCTGCAACATCCTTAGGTGGCCCATTTTCTTTGTAATTCCAAATAAAAGAGAATCAGGATAGTACTGAACCATCTTTAGTTGAATTAGGATGGATTTAGAATCTTAAGGCTAGTAAAAGAAAAAGCAGTACTTTGAATTACCAAAATTTTTATCATGCCAGAGAGTAAATCACAAGCTTGACATTTACACAGAGAGCACAACTTTCCACGCGCTGTTTCTACAGCGTATCTTACACATCACTGAAAAATCTCAAAGTCATTATTTCATTAATAGGAATTTTCTCCTAATCCCAGAAATGTAAGGTACCATTTATAAAAGTTGTTTGGGAAGGTTTCATTCAATTCAATAGATTTTTACAGAGTATTTACAACCTATCACCCCTGTACCTAAGCCCGAGGGGTAAATAAGGCAGGGGCAGTGGGGCCTTGATGGCACTGATGTGGGCGGCACACATGTGTAGATGTTAAGTGTGTTAGAAAGAACAAGTCAGTTTCTGGCGAAGTGCAGAGCAATGAGATGTCACTGCACGGGGGTCTAGCTGAGGTCTCAAAAAGTAGACCCCATATGAAGCTGGCCAGGGGACAGTGTTGTGGGACACAGGGAGCCACCTCTGCTCTGCTGCTGAGGACCTGGGCATCCTGTGAGGCTGAACGGGACAGGAGGAGGGAGGACAGGTAAGGTAGGCACAGGACTATGGGCCTGTGGTGGAGCGGCATAGCTTAAAGGTAGAGGGGCAGCAGAAAAGGTTTTGGATGGGCTACCACCTAACTATACGGGCATCTTTTGTCAAGGTCAGATGAACAGGGTCAGGGGACATGGCCGTTGGGGAGGAGGGGTGGGCACAGTGGGCCAGTCAAGGGAATCTGCCTGGTCAAAGTCATCTGCCAGTGGAGAAATAGCTGGCAGGTGGTGGGGGCAGAGACGGAGCACAGGCATGCACTAGGTCTGCACTGAGAGGTGGGCAAGGGACCAGCGGGTTTCCCCAAAGTCCTGGGCCCCTGGCTCCCCGTCCATGCAGGGGATCCCTAGCATGTTTTCATGAGAGTGCGTTCTACCTGCCCTGACCAAACTGACTGTGAATGCTGGTGAGCTATCCCAAAGGGTAGATGGCTTTGTATTTAACCAGAACCTCCCTGCTGTTCCTTCAAGTCATACTTGTTGGATCACAGATAACTAAAACCAAAATCCAGATACAACCTCCACAGTCAGTCCAGGGAATTACACACTTTACCTCTTTACTCCTCTCCGGAACTCAAAAAGCTTTTGTCCCTCTGGAATGGAAAATACCCTAATCACGGTCCCCTGCAACAGATAAAGAAAAAAAGCAGACTTTAAACTGAGTAAATAGGGGCTGGAGAGATGGCTCAGTGGTCTAAAGCACCTACTTGAAACAAGCTTGGCAAAGCACAGGGACCGCGGTTCGATCCCCAGCACCACATGCCAGCCAGACCCACCCCCTGGTGGGCTGAGCTGGCCACACACATACACAATAAATAAATGTAATAAATAAAAATAAATAAATATTTAAAAAAAAGAGTTCTTCTTTATTAAAAAAAAAATAAACTGAGTAAATAGATCTTTTCTATTTTGTGTATCAGACAACAAATAAACCTTGTGGCCCATTTCCACTGCAGTGCTGTCCTGAGAGAAGCTGGGACCCTTGGCTCCCAAGTCTATTATATAGGGCCCTAAAGCCCCACATAGTGGCACATACCCAGCAGCACACCTGCCCGTCAGTCTACTTAATTTAGTGTTATTCTAAACAGAACAGCCTGGAAGCCTAAAGTGGAATGTAAGACATTTAAACTGTTAGAATTTTTTAGCTGGAAATTTTACCTGGCTGCGTTAGAAGGAGTGAATCCAAAATTAACAAACTGATAAAACATTAAACTTTCACTGCAGAGCCCGGTGAGTGGCAGCACTTTCCTGCTTACAGTGCACAGCCTGAAGAGCTTTGCATTCCTCATGTATATTTTCCTTCCCTCAAGCAAGTTAACAGGAGTTGTGCATGAATGAGACAGAACATGAACATGTGCGCGAATGAGTAAGAATCTGAAGCCAAGAAGAAAAGAGGACAGGACTTCCAACATGAGACTATTAAAAGGCTTCAGTTAAGCACTGGCATTAAAAGAACACAAAAAGAAATAGATGGGCAAACAGAATACAACCTTGCAACAACCCACATTTCAGATTTGTGGTATAGGAGAACCTCACAGCAGTTGGAAGGTTCAGACTGTTAAATATAAGGAATACTTTACATGTTTATAAATAGCATGAAAAGGGCATTACCACCCTAAATGCAGTGCACAAAGAGCTGTTTACCTAACACACAGTGGACCAGGGAGGTGACACAGTGCAGCCTGATGCAGGTCATTTACAAAAATGGGGCAGAAGAACAGTGGTTTCCTCTGGATGCAAGGATACCACTGAGTAATTCTTCTAAGTAGAGGGACATGATGTTTTATGTGAGCATATGCAAAAGTAGCCAAAGTGAAGGCTTCTTTACACCTTAAACCCAGAGCCCTTGCACTGAGATACATCCCTGGCCCTTTTTTAAAAATGTATTTGGTACAGGGTCTCAGTACGCAGCTCAGACTCATAGTGATTCTCCTGCTTTCAGTCTCCCGAGTGATTACAGGCCTGTGCCACCATGCTTGGTCTCAGTGCACAGGGGTGTGTGTGTGTGTGTGTGTGTGTGCGCACGTGCGTGCGCAGCATGTCAGCATGTGGTACCCAGGACCAAACCCCGGTCCTTGTACTTGCCTAAGCAAGTGTTTAGTCTGCTGAGTTATCTTGCCAGGCTTCCCTGGCCCTTTTTTAAGACCAAGAGTCACTAAATTGACCTCAAACTTGTGACTTCTGCCTCATCCTCCCAGACTACTGGTATTAGGGAGGTAGGCCACCAACAGCAATCTACTATGTCATAGTAGTAAGGGCTGCTTGGGGACATGATACCAAGTTCCTTGAAAGCAGGATTAAGTTGCATGCCTCAGTGGCCTGGCCCCAGAACACAGTAGGCCTGTGAAGGCCCAGTGATACAATCTCACAAACAGGATTCTGTTTAAGCACAATGAAGTATGGTTTCCTTATGATCTTGAAAAAATTATTCTATTTTTAGTGGCTTTGAAATTCCACTCATTGCTTTTAAGGACTAAGCGTTAATAAGAAACATAATAGCAAGACTTTAATTATGGGGTACTGACTTCACACTCCCAAGTGTAGCTAGCAAGGGGATGTGGGCTGGTCAGGCACTCAGGTGTGCAACCTTGGCTGCATATGAAATACATAATGTTTACAACTAACAAAACTTCCTTTGCAATATATTTTAATTATTAAATTATCTTGATAAAACAACACAAGCCCAAGTTTAGTAAGAAAACTTACACATCTGCTTAATAAGAATAGATACTTCCCAGGTGCACAGGTGCAGGCAGGCTGAAATGGAATAGACAGGCTGCTTTGCTTCACTTGCCCAGGGGCACAAGAGCTTCAGTAAGCCACTGGGCTCAAAGGCAGCACTGCTCTGGCCCTTCCCTGACAGTGTCTTGTCACCCAAAGTTCCTGCAGTAATGCTGAGCCATTGAGTTAGACGAATGCCAGGTTTATGATCTGTGGGACTGTAGGTGGCTACACCTGGCTACTAGCAAAGAAAGGAGTCAGGCTTAGAGTCCAATTCTGACAGTGCCCAATGGGATGAGCCCGGGCAGCTGCTCTGAGCCCTTGGGATAAAATGAGATGCTCTGCTGGGATCAGGTAGCATAAGGGATACAAGGAGTCCCTGGGAAACGGGACTGAGGGAGAGTTGACTTGGGAAGGGAGGCTGATTTAGGACTTCAGGGGGAGGAAAATGAAAATTCAAGTGCAAATACAGAAAGGACTGCTGTTCAGAAAAGAACAAGAAAATAAACTCGATTTCCAACAGACAAAACAGCAGGGGATGGAGCTCTAGAGAAAGCAGGAAAACTATGGAAGATGAGGTGACAGTCTAAGTCTGGAAGAGCATGAGGGCCTGCTAGAGTCACAATGACCTCTGGCCAAAAGGACGTTACAGCTGATGTTCTGTTCTGTACATGGAGGTGTGTAAAAGAGGCTGCACTGCAGCCAGGTGGGTGGTACACACCTGTAGTCCTGGGACTCGGGAAGGTAAGGCAGGAGGATCATTGTGTGAGTTCAAGACCAGCCTGGGTGCTTACCTGGTAAGCGCAAGGGCCTGAGTTCAATCCCCGGTTCCACAAAAAAAAAAAAAAAAAAAAAAAAAAAGTGAGTTCAAGCCCAGCCTGGACTGCGCAGAGGCCCTGTCTCAAAAAGACGACGAAGAAGGAAGAAGGAAGGAGAAGGAAGAAGGAAGAAGGAAGAAGGAAGAAGGTAGTATTGACTCAAACAGCAACTCTTCAATTAGGATTTGGGACCTGCAGCATGGGGATAAGAGAAATCCTGAGGACACAGACTTCCCGTAGCACCACAGTGGGGGGACCCAAAAGAACGCAGGCTTCCGGGAGAAGGCTGTGTGCGCAGTGCTTGTTGATGCTGGGCACAGTGTACTCCCTGTACCTGCCTCAGTGCTCAGAATGCATCCGAAACACAGACTGTGACAGCAAAGTGACCTTAAGCCCTGAGTGCAAGTGAGGACAGCCACTGCTCTACCCTTGTTATAGTGAGACTGCTGGCCCTGCATAAATGATGGGGGTCTGTGCGCCTTCTGGGAAATTCCTTCCCTAGGTCTGCAGAGATGTCTGCGTTATGTGTTCTCAGTAATATACCTGTGGACTAAATAATGCAAGAGCTTATAAAATCAGTCAATTATATTAAACCTGTCTGTCCTTTATTGTTGGTTCTTAGTCTGAACAGAAATGACTTCAAAACTCTGGGCATGGTGGCCCATGCCTATAATCCCAGCACTTGGGAGACAGAGGCAGGAGGATCGCTGGGAGTTAAGAGGCTAGCCTGAACTATATAAGTAAGAACCTGCACCCCAAACAAAAACTCTTCCTCCCCAAACAAACTGGTTTGTAGACAGCACCTCAATGCATTTTGTTCAGAACAGTACTTAAACAGCCCTATAATGTGAACATTAGCCCTAGAGATGGGCCCCAGCAATATCACATTTCAGGCAGGCTCACTTCGAGTAAAGTTCATATTGTACACTTCTTGAAATCTAAATGTTGATTCACTTAAAAGAAAAAAGTAGCCAGGTGTGATGGCCTATACATGTAGTTCCAGCTACTTAGGAAGCTGAGGTAAGAGTATTGCTTGAAGAGTCTGAGAGCCCTGGCAACATAGTAAAACTATCTCAAAACTGAAAAACAAAAATCAAACCTCCCTAAACCAAATAAAGCCAAAAGGTCACCCTTTCCCTTTAGTACTAGAAATTGAACTGAGGACCACTGCATCAATCTACAGCCCTAGCCCTTTCTATTTTGAAATAGGGTCTCAATAAGTCCCTAAACTGTCTAGGCAAGGCTTGAATTTGAGATTGTCCTCTGTCATCCTCTTATAGAGCACTGGGATTATAGGCTTGTGCCACTTCACCTGGCAAAGCTGCATCATTTAAAGCCACAAATTCTTACTGGAATTCTTAGATTAACAATTGGAAATTCACAGCCTGAGCATGGTGGTACACACATATAATCCCAGCACTGTGGGAGAAGGATGCTAAGTTCTACTCCATCCTGGGCAACTAAGACCCTGTTTCATAAAAGAAAAAAAAATGAAAAGGACACTGAAATGTGTTCAGATCAGCTGTCTTTGACTTTTTTTTTTGGCGGAGCCGGGGATTGAACTCAGGCCCTTGCGCTTGCCAGGGAAGCGCTTATTCCACTAAGCCATCTCCCCGGCCCCTTGTCTTTGACTTTTTACACTTCTCCTTATTTTCTAAACTCTCTACCATAGGACATGAACATCACAGTATGAAGACACACCAAAAGTGGCCTGGCTGTGCAGTTTTACCTCCTCTGTGCCCTTCTGTGTTTCCCACGACAAGTCTATGCATTTCCTTGCCAGACAATGGCTTGGTGCCAAAGTGTGGACAGTGAACACCCCCCAAGGCTATGTGCTGAATGACGGTGCTGCTGCTGAGTGCCCAAAGCGTAAGAGGCGGGGCCTGGTGGGAGGAAGTGAGATCTGTGTGCTGTCATCCTGCTCTGGCTGTCCGAAGGTGAGCAGCTGTGCTCTGCCCTGCACCCTGTGCTCAAGCGTTCTGCATGCTCCTGCCAGCTTGAACCACAAGTGGTACATATGTGACTATGTTGCAAAGCACCAGTCACCACAGACTCAAACTGTAGCCTGAGGCATTCTCCTTAGAAGACAGTTTGTGGCTGGGAGAGAAAGTGGACTCACACACATTCCCTCACTCCTCGGCAGCTGACCAGTTGGCTTCTACAAGGGTGCATTACAGAAACCTGTCCAATACACGAGTGTGTGCAGAGTTGAGGCCTTCAACCCACTTTAATCTGGTCTATAGCAGACCTACCTTCTCAGAAGCAGTGGCAAGTTTGGTTCCACTTGCATCAAAAGCCAGGGCTGCTAAGGGACTGTCGTGAGCTGGGATCATGTTTGCAGCTCTCTGAAATGGGAAACAGACAAAATGGCTGCCATGCACGAAAGCCCACGCCCTGTGCTGCAGTCTGGCCAGTAGGCCAAAATGCCACCACTACCCGTTTGGTCAGAAAAACCCCTAAATCCACCTAACTAGGTTGGGGCTATGGAAATGCTGCTTAGTGTCTAAAAGGCACAAAGCATTTTCTCTATCAAGGTTTCCATACTCCACAGGCACCCCCTGTAGGAGCTCGGCACTCAGGCACCCACAGAGGCACCTTCAATCAGCCCTGCTCCACCACCCAGAGGAGCAACGACAACTGTGCTGTGCAGTTGGGCTAAAGATGCCAAACACTCAAGGTGGCATTTTGCAGAAAAAAACACAGTTTAACATATCCTCATGGATTGTACACTGCCAGTGTTTATGTGTGACTGTTCCACTGGGGGTCTGGTGTCACCGGTGTACAAATGGATCTAATCACTTTGATCCATAGTTTTGCTAATGAATTTAACAAGACAGTCACATATGTATCACCTGTGGTTCAAGCTGGCAGGAACACAACATGTCCAAATCAGAGCTGCCTAGCAGTGAGACATGAATTATGGTCCCATTGAGAAACTGTTGAAGAAATTACAGAAGAAATCTCACCAAGTTAATGGTGTCGAAGACCTGCACCTCTCCGATGGTGGCACTCCCTGGGTATGCCAAGTAGCAGTTGTCATTATTTATTGACAGCGCACACAAGCCTGTAATAACGCATGGACAACAGGTACAAGGCAAATCTGAGAGGACGTTTCTGGCTGTTGACTGTAATTTAGCATTTATTTTTAAAAATGTACAAACAAAATACCATTCAGATAAGCTATAGCATTTTTAAAAATTTAATAGCCCAAACCACCTTAGGTAATGTCAATTCTATAAATAGGTAAGAGGCCTTCACTTTGAAATGATCAGTAATCTCAATACTTAAAGCAGAATAAACCAATGAGTATATACTGGCTGCTGATCAGCTTCCATAGAAAGCTGACTGGTTTAAAACCAAATTTCGAAAAATCTGTCTCATCCATGGAACCTATATTAAGGGGAAAAAAAAAAAAATCTCTCACCTATAGTTACTTTTTTTTTTTTTGAGGCAGCCAGGCCAGAGAAGAGGTCCCTGTCTTGCTCAGTCATTAGGTTGCCCAGGATGGCCAAACACTGCAGCCCTCCTACCTTAGCCTTCCAGAGTGCTGGGATTACAGGTGTATGTCATCGTGCCCAGCATCCGAAAGCTGATTTTAAAAAGCAAAATCAGAAAGATTCTTGCAAACAAATTTACCTGCAGGGTTGGGGGGGGTCTCCCTGATGGTGTGCAGTACCTTCATGTCCCGAATGTTGTGTATGTAGAGAGACTCTTCCAGGCACACAATGAGCCTCTAGAAAGAACACAGAAAATCTAACATGAAAAAAACATCCACTACAATATGTGTCCCTGGTTCTCTATTAACCAAGTCCTAGATTAAGACACTCTCTATTCCTCCAGCACACCAAGCAGCCTGGATGTTCCAGGCTTGGGATGCAGAAGGCTTTCTAGTGCTGGGGGTAGGGTGTTGTGGTACACAGTTGAGGATTTTTAACTGTTGTACTTCACTATCATGCTGAACTACAGGGAAAGTGGGCTTTGGAGAGATTTGATAAAGGCAAGCTGCTTTTAAAAACTGATAGTAGGCTGGGTGTGGTGTGTACACTTATAGTCCCAGCACTTGGGAGGCTGACGCAAAAGGATTGCTCCAAGTATTGAGGTCAGTCTGGCATACACAGTGAGTTCAAGGCCAGCCTGAACTACATAAATGAGACCCTGTCTCAAAACAAAACAAACAAAACCAAATCATAAAAACTGCTATTGAGCCAGGTGTGAGGGCACATGCTTGTAATCCTAGCATTCAGAAAGCTGAAGCAGGAGGACATTGTGAATTCAGAAACCAGCCTAAACCACACAGCAAAACTACTGTTTCTAAAACAAACAGTGGGCTGGGGAGATAGCTCAGTAGAATAAGCGCTTGCCTGGCAAGTGCAGGATCCTGAGTTCAATCCTTGGTACCACAAACAAAACAAAACATAAAAAATGATACTAAATGAAGAATGGGTAAAATAAAAGTAAAAGCCTAGGACTTTCTTAAAAGTATAAAATTTTATTCTGCATGCAGATTTTGCTGTAAGTTCTTGCTCATTTTACAGAAAATGCATGTAGACTTAGTGGATCCATTGAGGGAATATTTCATGCAAGAAAGAGAACCTGGCATGCACACAGTTTTTGTTGGACTGGAAGGAACATTTTTGTATCTTAAATTTTTAAAATCTTTAAGCTATCATATGTTACAATTTCCCAGTTTAATCAATTTTGTCAGTTAACAGACCAAACAGGTTCTAATGAGGCTTCTCTTAGTGAGAGGGCTAGCTGTGTCCAGTGCCAACCAGAAGCCAGCTCCAGCCAGAGTGCACACTCTGTTCCTGGGGCTGAGTCAGCCCTCCCTGCAGAGTGCGCAGTGCTGCTGGACCTGGGAGACACAGACCTCATGGGCCGAGCTTCTGCACTGTGTGCTCACCTGAGCCAGGGGAGGCTCCTGGAACAAACCCAAGAGCTGAACACCAACTCTGTGCTGGGTGTCCTCCTAGATTTTGGGGAATATACAGGTCAAACTGACAATTTAATAGAGGAAAAAAGTCTAATAGATTTTTTAAAGTAACATTTATAAAAAAGTAAAAAAAAATCTGGGTATCTCTGGATGAGCAAATGGACAGGCAGAAAGCTGGTAAGACTTGTGTCTTTAAATGGGTGAGGCAGCCTGGCAGGGCAAGGGTAATGTCATGGATGTGAAAGCTGGGATGAACTGCTGAGGAGTGAACAGCATAATCAGTCTCCGGCTACAGGCTGCACAGCACAGGGATGGACAGCTGGTAAAAACCGCAAGGTGGGAGCAACTGTTCTGCCCTGGAAGCAGTGGAGGAAACAGCCAGGCCAAGCTGGAAGTAGGGCGATAGGGAGCAGTGTACACTGAGATACACACCAGAGCCACACTCACCTGCCTGTTCAGCTTTACAGCTAGGATTGTGTTGGAGTAGCTATAGTTACAGATCTCAGTCCCCTTCTTAAAATGGCAAACCTTCAGCTTCCTGGGAGCTTTGAGGCTAACGATGGCCACTAAGCTGCTGGAGAAGAGTCTTTCTACAATGCACACATCTTCAGTGTCAGCTGAAACCAAAACCAAAAATACATGTGGATACATGCATCTTTGAGTTGACAAAATCCACCTGCAGACACAAATGCATTCCTAAGTGACACTTAAAGCAGAGACTAGCAGGCCCTTGAGGTCCCAAGATAGCTCAAAGAGGAGGAAATTCTGATTTTCTGGAGTCCCAGGAATGATGCCACTATGGACACTGATCATGCTTCTATGTGAAGATAAGTTATAGAACTACTTAAAAGGATTCCTTTAATAAGCTCTTCTGTTGCTGGTTAGAGGACTTAAAACGCAATTGTTAGTTCAGAAAACCAAACTAATAGATGAAGTGACAGAACAAGATGTAAGGGCTCATTTTACTAAGGCATGAACTGCAGAAGCTTTTACAATTATTATTAATTTTTTTTTGTGTGTGGTACCAGGGATTGAACTCAGGACCCTGCACTTGCCAGGCAAGCACTTATCTCCCTGGGCTTCACTATGATTTTTAAGATGTACAATGGTGCTAAAGGGACAGCATTTGGTAGAAACTAACTTCTGACTTTGCATCTTTTCCTGGGCTGGTGACATGCAGGACCACACTGATGGTTGCTGGGCCTCAGTAGTGAGCCATAGTCCCAGTCACCCCTAGGACCACCAGGAAAGCAAGTAACCCACTGGCTGTGGGTGTACCCCATAGGACACTGTGCTGCTGTGGGTGGCATTCAGTAGGTCACAATAAGTACAGTTCCATTTTTCCTATTTTTAAACCAGGATGGGTCTGTTGGGATGCAACATCATTGTATGTGAAGGAGTATTTCTAAGCAAGAGCATAGTAGCAATCTATTCAATATGGATTTGATGAGTAAATGAGCTGAGCACTGGCTTAGGTACTAACAAAATCATGTGAACTGAGGCAGACATAGCCTAAATGCCACAGCACATATTTGTTTAAAAAAATAAAAATAAAAAAGGCATGATGGCACACAATTGTAATCCTAGCACTTTGAGTAGGCTGAGGCAGGAGCATCACTGTGGAGTTTGAGACCAGCCTGGGCTACATAGAGAGTTCAAGTCCAGCCTGAATGGAAGAGGTAGTAAAATCAAGCACAGGATTCTAAGCTCATCACAGTTTATCCCATCACTTCTACCTACCTACATGATAAAATCATGTTCCCTCCTTCCTACAGCAGTGTACATACCTTTATTTCAAGGATCAAAAGCAACTTGCTTAGAAAGTGGTTGGGGGGGGGGGAAGAGATGGCTCAGTAGAATAAGTGCTTGCCTGGCAAGCACAGGGGCCTGAGTTCAATCCCTGGCTTAAAAAAAAAAAAAAAAAAAAGTGGTTGGGGGTGCCTGGGGGCGTCTCAGAGCAGGCACCCCTCTACCAGGTGCTGCCTTCCCATGAAGGGCACAGGTGGTCCTGCTGCTCCATTCTGGGGGCAGAGGTCTTCGGATATGGCTCCAACAGGGCAGGGCTCTGGAGCAATGGACACAGGACCAGAATGTCAACTACATATGGCTCAAAGAACCTCTCTAAAACTAGACAGGTGTTTTCTGATGCCCCTTCCCCTGGAAATCCATGTGGATGCTGGCTGTGACAAGACCAAGGGGAGGTAGGGTATCAGGAGAGCTGGGAGCTAGTCCCCAGCCCTGGGGCACTGCATGGGTAAGAGACTGGGCCTTCTTCATCACTGCTGGTCACCTCTAGGAGCTTCCTCCCACCCCTTGCAGTGAACCTGCTCTATCTACAAGTTTTCCCAAGTGTTAGCTAAGCTGTATCTCATGCCCTCACACCAGTTCCCATGGGGCATCCAGTTCCTGTGATGGTGAATCTCTTAAGAGTTTTCAATGATATAAACAACCCATAGTGGCAGGCATGCCACAGGTTGGCCACCACTGATCTAGGTACGGGGCTCTGCTGGGGAAGAGACATGCCTGGCTGTGCCCCAGCCTAACACTGCCCAGCAGGGAGGAGCAGCTTCTCAGATACTGGTGCGGAAGAGCGGACTCAGTGGGTAGATGAGAGGTATTCCTTAAAGTCCTCAAACACTACTTTAGAAACCAAACTCTTAAACTGCAATGTTATCTAAAAATAGGCCACTTTTGTGACATAGTGAAGTCCTATTATCCCAGGGGCTGTATCTAAGAAGCTTTGGCTGCAGTTCAACTGCTTTTACTCTGATATCTGCACTGGGAAGGCAACAATACAGGTACCTCGTTGAGTACTATGAGTGCAATGGTGACCCAGGGGAGTTCCTGGAAAATCAGGTTAAAAATCAGATTCTGCTAGCAGGCAGAACTAGCTAGCAGGCCTGGCATAAGTTTTCTCAATGGCAAGGTAGGAAGGAGCTGGATTCACAGCTTTATTAACTCTAAGACTGGAAAAACCTGGTGCATACAGAACTGTTTATTAAAAGTAAATTTTTGGGGCCGGGGAAATGGCTCAGTGGAATAAGCGCTTCCCTGGCAAGTGCAAGGACCTGAGTTCAATCCCCGGTTCCGCCAAAAAAAAAAAAAAAAAAGTAAGTTTTTCTCAAATTCATGAATCTCCTAAATTAAACCAGTGGTGAAAAGATCTTATTTCCAAATACATTGATCTTCTTTGTTCCAATTCTGTATCTGTAAATCTCTTATCTATGCTAAAGTTTATTTATAATCCCAATATCAATATTCATGGGGTTTTTCTAGTCATTCGTAGACATATGCAGAATGGTGACAGATGGGGGAGGCTCCACACTGCACATTCCTAGTCAAGGGCTGGACCATCAAGGAAAGGCAAAGAAGGCAGGAGAACTCAGGCAGTGACTATAGAGGGCAAGCCGGAGAAGAGCAGGTTCCTGGAGAGGGGCTTCAAGGACAGCTATGGTCAAAGTAGTCATGTTTTCTAGCTACTAGATTCACTGATAGGACAGACACTGCAGTACAGACAGGTCACCAAGGAGATGGGTGCAGATGCAGGGCGGGGCCCCTTGGAGGAGAGGGAAGAAGCTCCCTGGGAAAGTATCTGACCCCTCTGGAGCAGGAGGAGGTCCTGGCTTGGAGGCTCACAAAGGTAGGTGGAAATTTCCCAAGTAAAGGTGGCCTGAGACTGACACGGCAAAGGATACACCGTCAGAATCACTCGGGGGGGCTGGTGAGATGGCTCAGTGGTCTAAAGCACCTACTTAGAACAAGCTAAGCTAAACAAAGCACAGGGACCGCGGTTCAATCCCCCAGCACCACATGCCAGCCAGCCCTGCCCCCTGGCGGGCTGAGCAGGCCACACAATAAATAAATAAATAAGAATCACTCGGGGCCAGGGGCCATCTGTAGGACTGTGAAGTATCTCATCAGCCAGAGATCATTCAATCATACCAGTTCAACAGAAGCAGGCATCTCATTCTAAGATTCAAGAACTTTCTCATTAAAAAAAACAAATTTAACATATGAATAGGAAGCAACTTCTTTAATAGATCAGGGGCATTTATGAAAAATCTACAACTAACACACACTATATGTATCTTCTTTTTGAGATCACCATCCCAGGGAGGAGGCCAGGGTGCCTACTTTCCTCACTCTGTGCTGGAGGTGTTTCACATACTGCAACAGGGACAGAGTAAGGAAGGAAAACACATGGATCAAGAAAAAAGCCATTAAACTGTCCCTATTGTAATCTTTAGGAGTCTACAAAAGCAACTATTAGCAAGGCAATGCATATAGGACTAAAACACAAAAATGAGGCTGGGGTGTAGCTCAGTGGTAAAAACTTGTCTAGTGTGTCCAAGGCCCTTGATCCACTCCAAACCAGACCAAGAAAAAAAGAGACTATTTTGTACACCAGCAGCAAGTAATGTGGAAATGAAATTTTAAAAAAATCAATCCTGCCAAACTCAAAATTATTATATATTCTAAATTTAATAAAAGATACAAGCCTGGCTGGGTGTGGTAGCACATGCCTGAAATCCCAGCACTTGGAAGGCTGAGGCAGGAGGATTACTTTGAGTTTGAGGCCATCCTAGACTACATGAGTGGGTTCAGGGGGAGCGAGACCCTGTCTCAAAAAAAAAAAAAAAAAAAAAAAAAAAAAAAGAAAGAAAGAACAAACGAAACGAGACCCCTATATCAAAATCCACAATATACCACTAAGGCAAACTGAAAAATAGTTAAATGAAAAAAGAGAAGGGCTGGAGATAGTGCTCAGTGGCATAAATGCCGATCCTCAGTAGCAAAAAAGAAAAAAAAAAAACGAGCAAAACAAAAAAACCAAAGATACCAGAGATGTTCATGGATTGGAAATTGAGTATTCTCTAGCTTATCAATTCTCCTCAATTTGATCCCTATGTCCAATACAATCTTTATACTCTCAGCAAGCTTTTTTATGCACTGAAAGTGAATTTAAAATTGTATATGCAAAAGCAAAGGACCTAGCATATCTAAGTCTATCTCAAAAAAGATCAAAGTTGAAGACTGACAAATAGATCAAGGGATGAGAATAAAGAACCCAAAAGTAAATTCACGTACAGGACTGCTGTTAAGCAAAAAAACTAGTCTTCGTAAGGAAAGCAAATTTTTTCAACACATAGTGATGGAATAGGAATGCATAAGGAAACTACTCTTGATTTATACCTCACAAGACATATACAAAAATTAATTTGAGATGTATCAGTGACCTAAATATGACAGAGCTTTTATGTATAGTTAAAACTACAAAGCTTTTAAAGAAAGCTAAAAAAAAAATAGCTCTAAGACTTGAGAGTAGGCAATGAATTCCTAGACAGGACACAAGAAGCAAAAAACATTAGTCTCCAGGAAAATGCCGATTAAAATCATAATAAGGGCTGAAGAGTGTGTGTGTGATGCCTGGGTTCCAGTTTTAGCACTGTGCATGTGCACGGATGCATGCGCACACACACACACACACTACACACCACACACTAAAATGATAGCAGCAATGTCCAAACTGAGTGAGAACACTGAAGCCTTAGGATGTGCAAGTCGGGATGGTGGGAACACAAATGGCAGAGCCTCTTGGGGAAGACCGGTTGCTTGT